GGACAGATTTTATTAGGGAATAATTCTCCAATAAAGTTGATACAGTTCTTAATTATAAGATGTTTTCCAGAAAACTTAAGGAATGTTTTAAATGCATGAGCAGGGGCAAATATATATTTTCTGAGAATTCTTATTACTTATGGATTTGTATTCATGTAATGTGTTGCAGTACCATCATTATTCTTTTGATGCACAAATTGTCTCAAATTTGGCCAGAGAAGTCCCTTCCCACTGGCTCCTATGCTCTTTTGACATGTACCCACTTTGTTCTTTGAACACTTCTTTACTCTGGCACAGGATATACTCGGTTTATCTTTGTTTTCGTTTTTAATTGAGTAGAATTTACATAGTGCTTAGCAAACAGATCTTAAGTATATAGTTCAGAGATTTAGCATAAGTATGTACATTTATACAAATTATACCCCTAACAAAGATATAGGAAAAAAACTGCAAGAAACTTGTCTTGCCTTTTCTCCAGTTGATCTCCATATGATTCCCCCATCATATCCTTTCAACAAGTGTTCCAATTTCTTTTTTTTAATTTATTTTTTTCAGTGTTCCAATTTCTACCACCATACATTAGTTTTGTCTGTTCTAGAACTTCATTTAAATGCAATTAATAGGTACTCTTTTCTTTCTTTTTTTAAAGTGGTTCCCCCGCCTTTTTTTGCTAAGCAGTTTTGTTTTAAGTCCATGTTGTTACATGTATCAGTAGTTCCCTCCTTTGTATTACTGAGTAAAATTCTGTTGTATGAATATATACCACACTTTGTTTTTCCATTTAACTGTTGGTAGATACTAGGTTGTGCTATGAACATTCTAGTACAGGTCATTTGTGGACAAATGTTTTCATCTCTCTTGGGTAAATTCCAGGGAATGGAATTTCTGGGTCGTAGGCTAAGTGTATGTTTAATTTCATTAGAGAATGCCAAACTATTTTCCAAAGGGGCTGTATCATTTTAAACTCCTACTCGAAATGTAAGAGAGTTGGGTCATTCTACATATTAGCCAACAGCTGGTATTTTAGTCTGTTTAATTTTAGCCATTCTAATGGTTGTGAAGTGGTAGCTCACTGTGGTTTTAATATGTATTTCCCTGAGAGCTAATGAGGTTTAAGCATCTTTTTTTCTTTTGTTTCTTGGCCACTTTTTTCTTCTTTTGTGAAGTCTTATTTAAGTCTTTTGCCCTGTTTTTTTTTTTTTTTAATAATTTTTAATTTTGTTTTTACTCCCTTTTTATTTTGTTTTTAAAAATTTTTTGGCCTTGCCATGTACCATATAGGATCTTAGTTCCCCACCCAGGGATTGAATCTGCAGCTCCTTCACTGGAAGCTTGAAGTCTCAACCACTGGACTGCAAGGGAAGTTCCTCTTTTCCTCAGTTTTTAAATTGGGAGTTGTCTTTTATTGTTTAGTTCTAGGAATATATATGGTAAAATTTCTTTTTAGATGTTTTGTGAATATTTTCTTCAGGGTTTTTTTGTTTGTTTGTTTTATGGTTATTATTTTTGTGATGTAAATTTTTCTGTCTCCCTTTAAGTCATGAAGATAGTCTCCTTTGTTTTTTTCTAGAAGTTTTAGGTCTCTCATTTTTATGTTTAGGTTGATGACTATTTCATCTTCTGTATGGTATGAGGTGAGGAATTGAGTCTTATTTTTTTTTTTCCATATGACTGTCTGGTTGTTTCAGCACCATGTACTGGAAGGACTTTTGCTTTCCCACTTGCATGTTTCTTGAAATATTTATGGGTCTGTTTTTGGACTCCATTCTGTTCCACTGATCTTTTTGTCTCTTCTTACCAGAATATTACACTGTCCTGACTTCTGTAAATCTTAAAATAGATAATGTTAGTCTTCTTGTTTTGTTGATCTTTTCCAAGATTATTTTGGTTATTCTAGGTTCTCTATGTTTCTATATAAATTAAAACATTGGAACATCAACTTCCACAAAAGAAAGAGTGCTGGGAACTTGATTGGGTGGCACTGAATGTGCAGATCAGTTGGGGCAGACTCAGTATGAGAACATTTGAAGCATGAAGATGGTTGTCAGGAACTGTGCAAGGTCTGAGATTTTTCCCCATGTGCAAGCTGACAACTTTAGCCTGCCAGTGTTTCATGGGTGCTGGCTGAAGACACGACCCTCCTGGGGCAGATACTCACAGTACTGCAAGCAGCGTGAGCTTCACGTTTGCATTGGTTCTGTGTGCCCGCCTTAGTCCCACAGTGGTGATGTGGATACCAGGTGAGCGCTGCTTGTGCAGTGGGTCTGTATGTCATGGCTGAGGAACCCTGAGCTTAGGGAACCCCAGGATTTTATAATGGGCTGCCAGCAAAGCTGTCAGATTCTTCTCCCAGAGAAGCCCATTATCTTTGTTAGATTGAACAGCAAACAGACTTGCCCTCTGCCGCAGAGGGAGATGCTGTCTCTGTCTTCTAAGCAGTTTGCTCCACAGATGTCCTGGATAATCTGGATATATTATCCTGGATATCCTTCCTGGATATCCTGAAAGATAATCTGGAATGAAAGCTACCAGCCCTGTGTTTGAAATATGTGTTAAGAATGGAAGCAGTCCAATGGAGAACTGTCTTCCAGCAGTGGTCTCTCTCTCTCTGTTTATTAGCTCTTTTACAGTTTTTTCCAGCAGGCTTTGGTTTCACTGAGTCAAATCAGATACATCTTTCATTAAACTTATTCCTTAGTATTTTATGGTTTTTCTTCAGATGCTATTATAAATGTTTTTTTAAAATTGTAAGTTTATTTTCTAATCACTTGCTGCTAGATTATAAAAGTATTTTTGGTTTTCATATACTGACCACCTTTACTACAACTTTGCTAAACACACTGATTAGTTTCAGTAGTTTTTTTTTGTATATTTCTTATGATTTTTCTATATAACAAAATTGTCATCTGTGTTTAAAGACAGTTTTTGTCTTTCCACTTTTTTTTAAGCAATAATTTTCAGTTCACTAGACGAAACACTTGCAACATCATCTGCAGGAATGCAAAATAAGCCACCTATAGCAAATAATAAGGATAATGGGCAAAAAGGAAAAAGCATACATTGGAAAAGAAGCTTCTCTTGAAATAAAAAAATCAAACCATTATTATAAAGGAATTTACCAAGACCTGCTATATTTCTCCCATCCCTTTTGCTGGAAGTCAACAAGAGCATCTAGCACTCTGTGTCCCTGTCAGAATCAGATCAGAGCATCCTAATGCAAAAACAAACAAAAAATAAAATCCCTAACCCCTCCCCAAAACCATAGAACTATAACTCCAGAGTTCAAATTCAAAAAGGAGAGTGCACTGTCTAGCACTTCTAGTATACTGTTGAATCCTAAGGGTAAAAGTGAAAAAAATATTTAACTATTACGTCTGATGTTAGCTGTGGGGCTTTTGTAGATGTGCTTAATCAGGTGGAGGAGGTTCCTCCTTGTTCCTGGTTAGGGGTTGTCATCTCCTGACTAATTGGAATGCCTCTCATAGCTGCTGGCGGGTCTGCTGGGGCTGTGGTTTGGATTTGACAAGTGTGCCTTTTTCTTTTTAAAGTTTTTTTTTTTTTCCGATTTATTTAAACTAAAAAAATATCACATCACTCATTTTTCTTATCCCCAACCCCCTGCGTCTTGGAACAGCCAAACTTTTCTCTGTATCTATGTTCTTGTGGTTTTTTGTTTTTTTTTTTAAAGATTCCCTGTTTAAGAGAGGTCATAGTGTATTTCTGTTTCTTTGTCTGAGTTAGTTTCACTTAGGATATAATTCCTTCCAGGTGCATACATGTTGTTGCAAATGACAAGATTTCATTTTCATTCTTTGTCATGGCTGAATTTAATAATAATATTCTAGTGTGTGTGTGTGACAGTTTCTTTATCCGTTGCATCCATCAGTGGATGCTTAGGTTGTGTTCATATCTTTGTTATTGTAAATAATGCTGTAGTGAACATAGAGATGCAGATAACATTTTGAATTAGTGTTTTCATTTTCTTTAGATAAATTCCCAGAAGGGGAATTGCTAGATCATGTGTTAGTTCTATTTTTAATTTTTTGAGGAACCTCCATATTGTTTCCCACAGTGGTTGTCCCAATTTACGTTACATTCCCAGCAACAGTGTAAAAGAGTTCCCTTTTTTCCACAGATTAACCAATGCTTGTTATTTCTTGTCCTATTGATAATAGCCGTTCTAATGGATGCGAGGTCCTTTGTTGTAAATTGATCGACTGTATATATGTGTGTTTATTTCTGGGCTTGCTGTTCTGATGCATTGATCACTGTGTCTGTTTTTATGCCAACAGCATACTTTTTAATTACCATAGCTTTGTAATACAGTTTGAAATCAGGGCGCATGGTACCCCTAGCTCTGTTCTTTTTTTCTCAAGGTTGCTTGTATATGACATTAGCATGGGCTTCTTATATATGTCCTTTATTATGTTGAGGTATGTTCCCTCTGTACCCATTTTATTGAGAGTTCTTGTTATGAAAGGACATTAAATTTCATCAGATGCTTTTTCTGTATCTATTGAGATGATCACAGGATTTTTATCCTTTATTTTGTTAATATGATGTATCACACTGATTTGTGAATGTTGAACTATCCTGGCATCCTTGCAATAAAGGATACCTTTTTTTAATATATTGGGCTTCTTTACCTGGTGAGAGTTGTACTTCTAATGTTTTTAGATTAAGAAATTTATTCTGCAAAGTCTGCTCTTAAAGCAAATGTTTTTTTTAAAATTATCAGAACTTCAATTTACATTTGATAAACAGGTCTTCACATATTTGTTATGACAACTTCTTATGACAATTTTGTCAACAACATATTCTTAATTTTTAAAAACTATTAATTAGTGTAATGATAATAACATAACATTAGAGGGAAATTTAAAAATTTGTCGGCAGTCCATTTCTCATCTGTTGGAGGAGGGTGCTGAGAAATGGCGGCAGAGACATCATCCCTGGTTCCAGTGGCCCAGGGACCCCCTTCTCTACCCTCATCCTTGCAGGGAGACGACTTCGTGGGAAGGCATTCTACAACGTGGGTGAGAAAGTGTACTGCCAGGAGGACTTCCTGGTGAGTCAAAGCTGTGCCCTGGCTGGTGCCTTGGGTGGGAGCAGGGGCAGGGACCCTCCTGAGTCTCATGGAGACCCGAGGCCAGGAAGTGGATGCTGGCTGGGCAGCAAGTGCCCCTTTGTCACATAACATCCTGGATCCTGTGTCCCCCTCCCAGTACTCCGGGTTCCAGCAAACGGCTGACAAGTGTAGCGTGTGTGGACACCTCATCATGGAGATGGTGAGAACCTCCCCCAGGCTCCTGGAGCCCCTCTGACATGCGCGGAGTCTGAGGACCCCACCCTTTCACCTGTTGGAGACCTGCCAGGGGCTCAGAGCCAGCGTGTCTTCTGGGGGCTGTGCTGAGCCTTCCACCTGCACTGACCCTTCAGTGCCTCCTGCCCCCAGATCCTGCAGGCCCTTGGGAAGTCCTACCACCCAGGCTGCTTCCGATGCTCGGTATGCAATGAGTGCCTGGATGGGGTGCCCTTCACTGTGGACGTGGAGAACAACATCTACTGTGTCAGAGATTATCACACGTGAGTAGCCGGCGCTGTGGAGCAGTGTGACTCCATGACTCCTCTCCCTCCCCTGGGAGCGTTTTTCTAGCCTGCCTGTCTGTGTTCTCCGTTCTTGGCCTGTTCACTTCCTGCCTCCGCTGTGTGCTCAGTGCTTGAGGTGAGGCATGGATTCCCTGCCTGGAGCCCTCTGTCTCGGTCCTCTCTTCCCCTTCCTCCTAGGGGTTTGAACTCTCAGATGTCCCACCTCGTGTCTCTGCTCCAGTGGCCAGGCTGGGACTTTTCTGCCTGGAATGGGAACTTGGGGGTCTCTGCAGAGTCTTTTTCCTGCCTGTCTGGTACCCATGTGACGAGGCAATCCATTCTTCCTTGCTGTGGCTCCAGGCTCTGCTCTCAGCCCTCTGGTCCTGTGCTGCTGCCTTGCATGGGGGTGGTGCTAGGCATTGGTTCCTGGTACTGGGTGTGGAGCCAGGCTTTGCAGGGTCTCAGCTAGGAGAGGCCCAAACCTGGACATTAAGGGGCAGAGACTCAGGAAGCATGAGGGAGAGGCCAGGGCAGAAGCCATCTGGAGGAGGTGATGGGCTGGAGGTGAACTGGGGAGCCACAGAAAAGGCCAGTGCTGAGAAAGCATGGCAGAGGATGCTCCTACCTCACTCTGTTCGCACAAGGAGAGGGGCCCTGTTGTTTGGGCCACATCATGGGCTACTATGGGTGGACCTGTCCTCGTGCCCTTGACCTCCAGTCATTCAGCTGGTCACTTCTGGTTTCCTTTATTCCTCCAGGGTGTTTGCACCAAAATGTGCCTCCTGTGCCCGTCCTATCCTCCCTGCACAGGTAGGAACCACTCACCTGGAGATGATCAGGTGCCTGGCCCTGCTGGTCCTGCCCGGGTGGGCCCCAGGTCTTGAGCCCCGGTGGGAGGGACGAGCAGGTGCTCCTGCCCCACCGCCCTGTGGGCAGAAGGATGTGTATAGGAGGGGGACCACCCAGGGCGCACAGGGTGCAAGTGTTCCCGCATGAGTTAGAGGGACATGGTGGCCCCTGCTTCTCAGCTGGCCCCCTGCCCCCTCAATTCCATTGCCCATCCATGTCAGGACTGTCCCCCAAATCCGTGAGCTCGCAGCGGAGATGGTGGGAGGAGCAGATGAAGAGAAGGGTGCAGTCTGTGCAGGAAATGACCTTTGGGGGTGCGGCTCTTGGCACTGGGTTTCCTCACATGCTGGCTCTGTCCCAGCCTACCGTGTCTGGGGAAGCAGGACTGGCAGTGGTCTTTCCTGACTCCAAAGAACCGATGCCCATGTGGTGGCTCTCATCAGCAAGTGTGCGTGCTGTCAGCTGCAGGTGTGGGAGGAAGCCTAAGGCACACACACATCCATCGGTGTGCACCCACCAATGCCTGTTCCGGCCCCATGGAAGCACCCATGTCAGTGCTCACATGGGTGTGAAAGCACAGCCCCTGTGACAGGAGCACGTGTAGGTGTGTGCCCACCACACAGTTTGCTTCACACCCTGTTTCTTCTTCCAGGGCTGTGAGACAACCATCCGTGTGGTGTCCATGGACAGAGATTACCACGTGGAGTGCTACCACTGTGAGGTGAGCCCGGGTCCCCCAGAGGGCTGGTGGCTGGGGCAGCCCCCCTCCTACACATACCTCGTCCTCCCTAGGTGTTCTACGGGCCTACCTCTTTTTAATATTTCTTTGGCTGCCCTGGGTCTTAGTTGCAGCAATGTCTAGTTCTCTGAACAAGGATCAGGCCCCCTGCATTGGTACCACAGAGTCTTAGCCACTGGATCACCAGGGAAGTCCCCCACTTCCTCTTTTATGGTTTTACCGCATGATGCCTATCCTCCCCTCAGTGAGCTCTCTCCCTCTGCCCCCCCCNCCCCCCGATATAGTCTCTCTCAGCCCATTTCTCATTCAATCCAATTATTTCCTCAGGATGTACAGTGTCGGGGTGTTGTGGATATAGAGAATAAAGACAGTCTGTACCCTCCAGAGAGACAAGTACTCAGGTGGTATTTAACAGGGTCATCACTGCTATCAAGGGGAGTTTTCAGAGCACCTAGGATGCCTTGGAAAATCAAGGAAGACTTTCTGGGGGAGGTGACACTCAAGCTAAGATTTGAAAGATGAATCAGAGCTAGCCAAGGAGGGAGGGAGAAGGGCATTTCCAGGAAACAGAAGCAGAATTGCTAAGGTGTGAAGATGTGTTGTTTTGTGTCACTGGAGAAGTTGGCAGGATGATGAAAGGCCACTTGAGCTGAGGAGCCTGCAGTTATCCTGAGGACAGTAGAGAAGGATTGAAAAAGGATGACATGATGTCATTGTGATTTTAGAAAGGGCATTCACCTTGCCATGCAGGGAATGAATGGAGAAGGACGGGGAAGGGGCTGGGGTTCCCTGAGGATGCTGGTGGAGTGAAGGCTGTGACCCTGGGTTCCGGGAAGTAGACGGAGTGTTGGTTAGATAGTACAAGGGACTGGATTTGGTCAATGACTGGATGTGTGAATTTAGGGGTTGGGAGGTGAGAGTGAGGACCCCAGGAGAATGAGTGAAGGTGAGAAGAGGAAGGCATAAAATGTTCTCACTTTTGGTAGCTAGAGACATCTGAACGGAGATATCCAGGAAGGAGGCGGATGTGCTGGAGTATGAAGACTCTGTTCCAGGGGTAGGAGTTTGGGAGTCATTGGCATATATAGCTCTTTCCTCTCTGATACTCTGTCCTGTGGTTTCTAGTTGCATTTACCTCCCCAAATTCTCAATTAAAGGAGGCCAATAGGCTCTCTTTGAGTAGTCTGGAAAATCTTTCCAAGTAGTACAGTAACTTGGGGCAGTTGTGGGACTTACTTTATTAGTTTCCCTTCCATCACTGGCCTGCCTTGCTAGGAGTTCGGAGTGTGAGAATCACTGTTTCGTATTTTTTTGCCCGGCCTTTTTCATTGTTAAAGGCAGAATGGGAATTCTGGTGCTTGCTACTGTCAGGGCCGGAAGCAAGACTCTCATCATGGTCAGGTACAAGGCTGCTGAAGCCAGGGGAGTATGTGGTCTTCCAGAGAGAACTGTAGAGGAAGGAGTCGGGGCTCAGGATAGCCCAGGGAGCTCCCAACATCCCAGGGACGCATACAGCCACACAGGAGGCCTAGAATGAGTGGCCTGATCTGACTGGAGAGGTAAGAGAAAAACCAAGGGTTGGGTTTCAGAGTCCCAGGGAAGAGCAGGTGTGTCAGTGAGAAATCTTCTGTATGAATCTAGGGTCCATTTGGAACCAGGTTGTGTTGGTGGGGCCAAGTGACCCAAAGGGAATAGGAATCCTGTTGGGAGGATCAGGGAAGGTGGACTGGGAGCAGGCATGACCTGCGGAGGGCCTCCGGTCCTCTAGCAACAGCAGGAGGGCATCCTGCTCTGCTGTCTGGGGACTTGCCGGGTCCCCTTGGGATCACTAAGGACAGTCCTTAGGGGAAGCCTCATAATGAAAGTCCAGGAGCAGGTTAAGCTGTGGGCAGATCACAGCCAATGCCTCAGGGCTGGGAGATGTGGTGCCGCTGTCTCTCCGGGGAGACCCCTGGACGGGAACGGGTCTCCAGGCCCCCTTCTCGTCCCCTCTCCCTGGTGTGTGGTGGTTAGTAGCAGGCCCAGTCAGGGGGCTGTGGCCAGACAGGACATCTGGAATCTGGGCTGTTTGGGACATGAGGCTCCTTGGCAGCAGTCCAGCTTTGTAATCTGGTGGGGGCAGGGTAAGTATTAGTCTCAGGGCCTTTGGGTAACAAGTGTCAAACCTGCCAGGCTGGAGTTCAGCCTTGAGTGCAGTGAGTGTGACCAAAGGGGCCTCTTTGGGATAGGTGACAAAAGGAAGGAAAAAATTGTTCACCTGGTGCCTCACTGTAGTTCACAGCACACTATCTTCCATGTCTGACCTTCACATTTCCTGTCATTTATTTAAACACGAATCACGTAGCTTGTTAAACAAGAGAAAATTAGCCCATAATATATCCTGCAGTGGTAAAATGGTAAGATAAGGGACATAAAACAAAACTCCTTGTTTACTTGATGTTTTCAGTTCTTCTGTTCCATTATCTCTTAAGGCCACTCAAGTCAGCCATTTGACCTTCTCTGTTTCCCATGGTCACGAGTGACCCTCATGTGGGGATCCAGGAGACGATTCTCAGTTGTCACTGCCCTAAGCTTGCAGTAACTGTCCTAGACTCTTCTCCTCTCCTAGTCGCCCTCTTCACTGTGCCCTTAGGACAGGCTGTTTTTGCTTTGCCTCTTCTATTTTCCCCTGAAATCTGGGCTCTGGTTCTCTTCTTTCCTCTCATAAAGTTGGAGCTTCCACAGCTCAGCTCTTCTCTTCCCTTTCCTAGTTATCTGCACTCCCTGTGAGAAACTCCTGTGGCTTTGTAAGAACTGTCACATTTTTATGCTGATGCCCCCATTTACTGCCCAGCCCGGACTCCCAGACTCCAGGCTGGTGTCCAACTATCTCCCTCCTGACTGGTTCCTTTGGTTGTGTAGGAGGTTCTCCAAGTCAGGGTGTCCCAACACTGGGCTCCTGAGCCCCTCTCCCACAAAGAGTAAAGGCCAAAGTCCTCTGGAGGGTGGGCAGGGTCCTAACAGATTGCTGATGCGCCTCTCCCTTGCTTACCCTGGAGTCGGGGCTGTGTTCTTCCCTAGGACTGCGGGCTGCAGCTGAGCGGGGAGGATGGACGCCGCTGCTACCCCCTGGAGGGCCACCTGCTGTGTCGCCGATGCCACCTGCGGCGCCTCCGGCCTGGGCCACTTCCCTCACCTGCTGTGCATGTCACGGAGCTCTGAGCCGGGGCTGAGAGCCCGACCCTGGGGTCGTGTTTGTGCTTGCAGGAGCCTGCGGTTTTGTGTGCGTCCCCATGCGTGCGTGGTTTTGCGTAGAAGCGCACATGTTTTTCTGCGCAGGCGCGTTTTCTGCGTTCGCGCGTGTTTTTTTGCGTAGGCGCATTTTTGCGTGCACGCTAGCGACGCGCGACCCAGGTCAGTGCCAGAGCTTTGTGTCAGGGTGGGTGCGGCGGCGGCGGGCTCCCACCCCACCCCTATACCCACCAGCCACCGAGCTGCTGTCCGAGGGGCCGGCCCCGCGGCGAAGCTATTAATATTTATTCACCGTCTGTGCCTCCTCAAGCCGCTTTTTTTCTTCCGGGCCCTGCCTGCTTCCCGCCCTTCCCCCACCAGCGGCTTTCCCTTTCGGGACCCCCTGTGCCCCGGTAGCCTCGTAGGGGGGAGGCTCCCAGACCGGCTCTGGGTCGCGTAGCTGAAGATGGCCGTTACTACGTGCAGGGGTGCGGGATACATGGCCGCCGTCCTCCGACTGGCCTTGGAGCAAGAGCCAGTTTCCCTGAAGCGAAGGGGTCTGGGATCCCCTTCTAGAACACCCGGAGGCTGGGTGTGGTTTGGCAGGCGGGGGTTTGGGGAAGGGCATGCGTATTTGTCTCCTAAGCGCCTTGCCTGCTGGTTGTGGGAAGGGTTCGTTGTGTGGGTGGGGTCGCTGAAGGGGGTGAGGAATGACCCCCCTCAGGGAGTGGGGCCTGCGTAGGACCCCAACCTTTGGCCTTTGGTCACTGCGGGTTTTGGTCACCCAGATTCCGATGGGTGTTTTCAGCCGTCATCTCGCCCTGGGCTCCTTCCCAAACCCTCCCATCCTCAGCCTCGCGCAAAGAACGCCTTCTCACGCAGAATTCCAGTCACAAGTCTCGGTCAAGAGAGACCGCGAGGGGGCGCCTTGCCCACTTGTTGCAGGAAAGCACTGTGTATTAGGCTCCACGACAAAAAGCATATGAGTTGACTTAAATTAAGTTTTTCCTTTGAGAATATTTTCATTTTCTTTAAAAGAATATAGTTTTCTTTTAAAACCTTGGTCCACGGTTGTTATTTCTTAGGAGAATCACAAGCTCAAAAATGTCTAATTTGTGTATCATACAGCTAGTGTTCAAGTGGTAAAAAAAAAAAAAAAATTGTAGTTTGACTATGTTTTTTTATAAATTCCTCTGAAATCTCAGGCTTTTGACTAGCGTGGGGTTTTGTTTGTGTCAGTGTCTTGAGAGCGGTGACCGAAATGTGGTATGTGGAAATGTAGTTTTTTGTGTTTTTTTTTTTTAATCCTCTGAAAGACACATCAGCATTGGGAAGCTTGGACTTCTCATTCATTCCTCATGTTGGATTTGCACTGGTGGGTAGCCAGGGCAGGCCCCTGCGGCTGAGAGACCCCCTAATCAGATAACCATCACAGTGATTTTCATGGAATACTTTAAGTCCACTTGTTCCTATGAGAACTGAACCACCTCCTCTTGACTACTGTTCTTATCCAGGTGTGAGATGTAGGATCTCTGTTGTAGGATTATTCATCTGGGAGAGCCCGGCTGTAGGAAGTGAAGGTTGTCAGGAGTGCCCATGGGGATAGGTAGGGGAAGTGGCAGCCATCAGGGTCCAGCGAGTCTGAGAACTGGAGCCGGGAGGCCCCCTAGTGGACGGAGGGCTCAAGTACATGTTGAGTTTGGGGATTGTTATTTTAACACCGAGGTGTGTCTCCTGAGGAAGGGGCTTCAGAAGGATCAAAGTGGCTTGGAGGAGCCGATCTCAGTGGGGCAGGTGAGAGTAAATTCCTGGGATGAGTGGCTGTTTCTGGGTTTCTCTTCCTTCTTAGCTGGGCTGCTTTTGCTTTCTAGCCCATTATTGCAAAGCTTTTCTGACTGCTTCCAGTGTCAAAGCTGCTTTGCCCTGGGTTTCTCCTTATTGCAAGTGCAGCTTGTGTCTTTTCTCTTCTTTTGTATCTGCTGTTGAGGTGATCCCCACCATTGCTTTCCACACCTGCTCTGTTCTGGTTACTACGCTCCCCCACACAGATGAACCAAGTCATCACAGCATGGAGCCCCCTTCGGGTTCATGTGCCAGACTTTATCAAAAGTCAGAGCCAAGGGAATGCATCTCTAACTGCTCTTTCTCTTTGGGCTCCAAATACAGAAGCCCTGTATTGGCTTCTCCCATGGCTGGTGACTGCTACCATCCCTTTAGCCCCAGAGCCTTTACTCATGAAGGTCACTCTGCCTGTATCCACTCCCTGCCCAGTACTTTAATTCCTGATCAGAACCTGCCAATCTCAGCTACACAATTAAGCCAGGCTCCCAGGTATTAATATTTCACCAGACACCCAGAATTTAGGGCCCTGGTCTGTAAGCTTTTTTCTGGGAGAAGCATCTTCTAGTTCATTGTCAGGAGTTATGCTGAGCTGATGGCTGTGGAACTGAGGAAGCAGTGTGAGAGTTAGACTCTGAGGCAGGTAGATCACCTGTGATCTTATAAGACAGGGTGCCAAACCTGCCTGCCCTTAGAATGTCTCCCCTGATGTTGACACCTGGTGACACCTCTAACTGTATTTTTGTTAACTGCTGAACTTTCATGTACTGAGAGAATAAGAATTCTCTTGATGTACATCTCCTCACTAGAGGGTGGAGACACTCTCCAGGCCAGAGTCTGTCTGAGTTGTTCACTCTTATCTTCACAGTGCCTGGCCTGTGGTTGTTACTGCAGCTTGAGCCAGACCCTGTCCTGACCTTTAGAGTGTCAGTTGAGGACCTTTCCCTCACTGATTTGCACCAAGTACAACCTGAGTTGCCAAATGAAGGAGTCACAGGTGGGATAAAAGCACAAAAACAGGTTTCCACAAATACTATACATGCTGCACATCAAGTGTGTGTCCCAGGAAGTACACACACAGATGTGCCTTTGTGGCTGGAGACTCTTGAGTGCTGGGTCCACTGCTGTGTGTGTGTGTGTGAAAGAGAGAGAGGTAGGGAGGTTGGTTGAGGTGAGTGAGAAGGGGAGGAAGGGAGTGGAGAGGACAACATGGAGATTGGGAGGGAGATGAGAGAGGGGGTGTGAGATTGTGAGAGACACTGAGAGAACTAGATACTGTGAGGGATAGAGATGTTGAGAATACATTGTGAAAAAGATTGAATGTTTGAGAATGACAGAGAGATGGTGAGAGGAACATTATGAGAGAGTTTGAGAGGGAGTTCACTGTCTTGAGAGGATGAGAGAATGGTGGAGAGAAAGATTGAGAAAGACATTGAGAGATGGAGTGAGCTAGAGGGGGAGAGAGATTGATTTAACTGAGGTAAACAGAACCTAGGGTCTTTTTCCCATAAGGCAGGGGGCCCTCAGGGCCTGGTGATTTGGAAATATTTGGATGACTTGGCCCACAAATAGATTCACCTTCTCTAAGTGACAAGGGCTGTGTTGTGTGTGTACGTGATGTTGGGCTGGGCTGGTTTCTTGGAGGTGGATCTTGACCATGGTGTGCCTACATGGCAGAGTAGGAGGAAATGGTGCTCCTCCTGGTCAGTGCTCCCTTCCTCTCTTTGGCCAGGAAACAAAGATGAGAGCTTGCTGAACTATAGATAAACTTTTGAGTGCCTCCTGTAGGCTTGTTCTGGAAGGGCCTAGAAGGGAATAATAGGCAGTTGGGGTAATTATTTATGGGGCCTGGGAGGGTCTGGCATAGGAATCCACAGTGGCAGAAGTCTGGAGAGCAAGATGGGAGGAGGAATGACTTGGAGTCAGTGGGCCGATCCTGGGGTGGGGGTCATCAGCAGTTGAGCGGGGTGATGAGTGAGGCTGTGCTCAACCACCGTCTCCTACCACCTCAGTTCCCATCCCTAAGGCTGGTCTTCTTATAGCCAATACCCCCCTGGGAGGAGGGCAAAAGGTGAGAGTAGGCTCAGCCTTGGGGGGCTTCAGGAGGACCTTGGGTTGGGATCTGAGGACAGGTCTTGGGATGGGGGCAGCACCCATGTTGTTGATGACCTTCCAGCCAGCATCTCTGGAGGACCTGCTCCTGTGTGGCGCATGGACTTCAGGCCTGCATGTGCCTGGAGTGGGTGTGTGGGTGCCTGGCTGGGAGAGGGATGTGCATGCTCTGGGGACTCAGTGACTGCTGGGAGCAGGCCTGGGTTGGGGGTTCTGAAATGGAAGGGTGCACATGACCTGGGGTGGACAGGAGGAGTCTCTTCCTCAGCTATCCCAGGAGTGTGGCACCCTGTCCTGGAGTAGCAGACTGGTCTGAGGCTACAAGTGCTTATGAAGTTCCTGGAGACAGAGCCCATGAAATGTCTTGGAGCTTGGAGAACTGGGGGAACACAGCTGGAGTGGCAGATGCTTCCCCCTCCCATCTTCCTGCTACGGCCCTGAGGACGCAGCTGGGCTGCCTTCTCTTAACCCTGGGGGTCACAGGTGGGCCCTTTGCTATCCTGCAAGGAGGGTCACCACAGAGGGCAGAGCAGGCCTGAGTATCTCCCCAGGGACACCAAGGCCTTCAGGTCTCCCTGGGCTGCGGGGACTGTGGCCCTGAAACATCTCGCACTTAGATGGGAATCACTCAGCACCGGTGTTGTTGTGCCTGTCACATACACATTTGTCCGTCACTATCTGCTCACTTGTTGCTCCCAACGTCCTACACTAGTGCACACCCTCCTCCACCTGTGCTGTGCAGGTATACCTGCTCATGTCTCACACACACCTGTGCTGCCCACTGGTTACATGACAGTCCCACAAACTCCACCTTACCTTCCTGAAGTTACCTGCCACACACTTGTCACTGGCACCCGTGTGACCCAGCTGACTCACTCCTCTATGATAGTGTCTGGGCCATCTGCTTCATCCATGGTTGGCCTTGCAGACACCGAGGGTGGGACTCAAACCCAGCAAGAGGCATTTCACTGGCCCGATGTTTACTCACCCTCCTTCAACCCCAGATTGCTTTGGGAACCTCCTCTTCCATCTGAGCAACAGTACTAGAGGATTGCCAGGCCTCTTCAGTTGGGCTCTACCTGGCCTGTGGTCTGGTGGGGCCATGTTCCTGAGCTGTGTGGGTGTCAGCCAGGGGCTGCTATCCTTGCAGACATATGGGGCCTTTTGAGGCCTGACCTATCCCCAAGCCACCCCTCCTTGTCTCCCTGCCCAGCTTGGCTCAGCTCTCTCCTTTCACATATGCGCATTCTGGTCCCCTGCCACACATGAGTCACTTCTGACCCTGGAGATGGGGGAGTCACTGACCCTGGTGAGAAGGGCTCCCTCCAGCGTGGGAATAAGCTTTCATGGGGATGAAGGGAGTCTTGTTGCCAGATGGTGGGGAGTCTTCAAAGAGGCAGAGGGCTGTGTCCATGATGGAGGAGATCAAACTGATGAGGCCTGTACCATGCAGACTGGGACCCTGTTTCTTTTGGGGTTAGGAGCCTCTCATGTGGGTGAGGAAAGTCCTAAGGGAAGATCACGGAGCCCTGGGTGGGAGTCAGGGTATCTCACTGCAACATGTCAGTGGCAAGACTGCATTTAGCTCTGATGTGGACTGACCCACCCTCCCTTCATCTCCTTTCTTCCTCCCTTCTTTAAAAAAAAAATATTTAAATACTTTATTATATTTCACATGACTGGAGAAAAAATACCTTGTTGGCTTTGGGACTGAGCAACTGGGTGTATATTTTCCATTTTCCTGAAGGTTAGGACAGGCTCGTGTGGGAGCGTAGAGAGAAAATTCTGTTTTACGCTTTAGAGATGTCTGCTGTGTGGAGCAAGCTGGTGGAGTTTGGAGCTCAGGGAAGATGAAGTCAGGGCAGGAGATACACATTTTGTAACTATGCGTTTATAGAGATATTTGAAGTTGTGGATGAGATCATGTGGAAGGATGCTGAGATCAGAAAGGAGAGGAGGACCAAATCTGAGCCCTGGGCTCATTTTTCCCTCGGCAAAGGGGATGGAGCAGGGGGTGCTAGTGATGTGGGTGGGCATGGGGAGGGGGTGGTTGAAGGTGGCATCAGAGAAGCCATGGGGGAAGAGGGCAGAGAGAGGAGGACAGGAGGCTGCTGAAGGAGTTCAGACCTTGATCAAGCTGTTTCAGAGCTGCAGTGGGGGAGACATAGATCCGAGCTCCTAGAGATGAAGAAAGGGAAGGAAAAGGAGGCAGCCAGCTCCCCCAGGTATATGGGCTGGAGGTACAGCAGCAGT